TATGATAAAGACGTGGAATCGGCCTATGTTCAATGTTAGTAGAGATGAAAATATACAAAAAGTTACTTTGTACATAAATATTTCCTATCAGTTCACAGCACTTCTTCCGCTAAAACGATCTGTGGTAAATTAGTCTGGTCTGGTTCTGTTCATCATTGATTGGGTGAGAGCAGTTCAATATTACTGGCTGTGGAAATCAGGGGGCGTGGCTCATTATACTACAAGGAAAACGCCGTAAATAACGCGCGCTTTTGTACAGTCAGAACGGCGTTTTTTACGGCGTCCTGTGGCAAGCCGAACGGCGTTAAAAGCGGCGCTTTTTACAAACACTAAAACGCCGTTAAATACGGCGTTTTTTACAGTTTACGTGCGTTTTTTTTTTACGGCGTCTGCTATCAGGACGTCGTATTTGACAGCGCTAATATTGTTTAAAACGCCGTCAAATACAGTGTTTTGTATGTAAACGCGATTTATCTATAGCGTAAATGTGAACCTCTTGGCTTGCCATACAATTGCACACACAAAGACACCGGCGCACGCTGTAGCCTTTATCATTTCATATCAAAGAGCGAAATAATCTACGTGCATGCAATGTCATGGTCAGCTAAGTCATGAAGTTACCAGAAAGGCGATTAAAGCTGCCTTAAAACTGTGCATGCATGTAATATATTTTATATGAGTCTATATGAGTCACATGTCTCTGAAATGGTTTTCAAAACGGTCCTGGAGCAGCCCAGCACTGTCTCACTCATCTAACACACTCGATTCAACTCGTCAGCTCATTAATAGAGACTTTAAGACCTGAAGTGAGTCAGAAATGGTAAAGAGAATTATGAGAAAATACGATGCGTGTCAGATCCGCGTCATGTTCAGCAGCGGCAGCTCTTAAAGAAATAACAGCCAAAACTGTTATAAATTATAAAATATATAAATTGTTATAAACCTAATAACCAGCTGCTGTGATGTCTGTTCGTCAAGATGAAAAAAAGAGGAAATCAATAACTTTTTATATAGCTTTAAGGATTTATATTTAATTTAGAATTTAGTGATTGATTGATAACTTCAATTTCAATTTCTGTATATTTCTGCTGAAGGGCACAGGTAGGCCTAAATATGACATTTATTATAATTGGTTTATGTGAAGTTTGTTTTAAGTTTACTTAAATTAGAAGTTATTTTTTAAAAGTCTATAGTAAATGTTAAAATTGATAGCTCTCAATTATACTGTAATGTTGAATGGCTATAGTCAATGGTTAAATATTAGGGAGAAAAACAATTGTTTAGAGACATCAGTAGTATTGGTATCAGTGATATTGGCCTTCAGTCATAAAAAAAGATGCCATTAAACAAATATCAAAAATATACTGTCTTTATGTTATTTGTACATTAATTTGAAGATTTAATGTGAAATTATTGCAATATAAAAGTATATTTAAAAACATTATTGTTAGGTGGGATTAATCGCGAAAAATCAGAAAAAAACGTGCGATTAATTAGTAAATTTTTTATCGATTGACAGCACTAATATATATATATATATATATATATATATATAAATTTCTATACAACGTACATGATTCAGTGAATACTTGATTATCATGTGCATCAGGCATATTAATAGAGCAACACATTTCTAACAATTAGTTACATGAAAACAGGCAAAGTTAAAAACTGTAAGTGTAAAAGCATGTTAACATATCAGAGTTTGGCTATTTCTTAATTTTATACACAACATTATTGTACTGCCAAGACATTAATTGTCACTTCCTTACAGTTTCCTTACAGATGATGTCTACTATTATTTAACAAAATTAGACAACTTTCATGCCTTTGTAGATAAAAAATTCTTAAGCGATAATACAGCTAATCCAATACTTTACAAGCATAGTAAAATATAGCCAGCTTCTTCATCTTTTTTCCTGATATTAGTTAACTCAACCTGCTTTCTTATATTCTGTTTTTACAGATATGACGTGACAGAGAGAGATGCTGGTAAGAAAACTATCATGTAAAATGTAATATGGATAATGATTAACTAGGGAATTAGTGCTATTGCAAAATTTCCATATTTCAATTCTTTTTTTTAATATTTTCTCTTTCAAATATTCAGTAACATTTTAATATAAATAAATTACTGCAATACAAGAACTACTATTATCATATCCTACAAATCTGTGCAAAGACTATTATCATGTCTGTCTTATACTAATGAACACTGGGGAGAGACTTTGTTCTGTCACAAAAAAAAAACATGCTTGACATTGCACATAGTATTCAAGCTTGCAATCAAGCAAGGACACATATGATTACAAAATTACATGAGAACTGGTTGTAAACGGGTGGAGTACAGTAGGCCCCCATAAAGCATATCTAAGTTCCATGTCCATTACCAACACATTATGAACATAAAGTTCATTTATTGCATTGTACCACTGGAAAATGATTCACATCAAAATGTCAGCATTACTCATTCCTCATTTTAGGACTGGTATTGTTTTAAGAGCATATGCTTAAATAAGTGATCTAAAGTCAACTGGAATTCCTAGTATAGTCAATTCTAGATCATTTCTACCAATGAAAACTGAAACGTCTTGTTTTTCAATCTTTTAAGCAGTACTGGCCTCCTGTGATTTCAACAAAAACGAAGAACCTTTCTGCAACTTCCAACAAGACCCTGCAGATAATGGTGACTGGACACGTCACACTGGACCCACCCCAACCCCAGGCACTGGACCTGATGGAGACTATCCGGATGGAAGTGAGTATGAACACCAAAACCAACAAAAAACAATCCAGGGATCAGTCACTGAACTGAAGATGCATAATCACTGGGAAACAATATTCAAAACTGAAAATTACTGAAATTACGGCAACCACAAATGTTTACAAAATGACAGTACACTGATTGAAGGGACATGCACTATAAGATGTTTTGTCAAGCAACTTATAAAATGATAAAGAACTTTTTTTTACTGTTTCTTGCTCTCATTAAACTGAACCCTTTCCACCCCATAGCTGGCTTTTACATATATCATGAGGCTGACAACTCCATAAATGGACAGAACGTACGCCTTCTCAGCCCAGTTATTAGTAGTGAACCTTCTGAGATCTGTGTACAGTTCAACTACTACATGTATGGCTCTGACAGCAGTAACACCCTGACTGTGTTGACCAAACGTACTGGCTCTGAGGAACAAATGTGGCAAAAAACTGGGATACAAAGCCCATCATGGCTTGGAGCCTCTGTCACAGTGCCCATACCAGCTGGACAGACTGCTCAGGTAAATGGGTCTGCTTACAAACAGTAAAAGATTGTCACTAGTGCTAATTCAAGTGTTTGTGTAAGGCTATAGATGTGTCATTTCTTCTTCTATAGTTCTAACATGCATTTTTAAATGAAATACATATGGGTACAGTCTTGTCATACCTCACTAAATTGCCTTAAAAATGGCCAGAGTATCAAGGCCTTTATAGGAGATGTGACGAGAGGGGCGGGGCCGAGACTCGAGACCGGTGAGTGGCGCAGGTGTCGCGCATTAGCATTTCCTACACCGGCCCTCTCGTCACAGGAGACTTATTCAATTTCAGTGTGGTCACTGTGTTTATGGCAAAAGGCTATGCATTATAGTATGTCTATTCTATATAGGCCTTTTCTTCAGCATCAGTTAAAAAAGTCAATGTTACCAAGACAAAGAACACTTCTGAAGCTCTTGATGACAGAATTAACTTTGTGACTCTTACAGTGTGACAGAAAATCCCCGGTCAGTAAGTTTTAATGTCATTTTTCTCTTCTAGATTGTATTTCAGGCAATGCGTGGGTTCTCTTCATCATGTGACACTGCCCTGGATAACATTGTCATCACCGAGGGAGCCTGTGCTGGTACTTTATATTTTACCCTTATTGCATGTTACAAAGATATACATTTTATATTATAATAATGATTTTATTGTATTTGATTTTATACAGGCTGTATAGCTGGGTGTGATTTTGATGATACTGATGAATGTGGCTGGACAAATGTGATAACTAATGAAGAAATCTTTGGTTGGGAGTTTTGGACTGGACAGACAGATACACCAGGCACTGGCCCCGATGATGACTTCTCCAAACCAGGATGTGAGTCCAACATTCCATCCTGTCATATTATTAATATGCTTTTAGTCCTCTTCACATTCCCTATTTTCTCAAACTGTTTCTTTCCAATATAGTGGGGTCGTACCTGTTAATGGACTCCATCTATAGCATTGAAGGAGAATCTGCTCAGCTCTGGAGCCCCTCTACCTCAGCATCTGGTTGCCTACAGCTGGACTTTCATTACTACATGTATGGCAGTGCCGCCAACATGGAGCTTAATGTCCATGCAGTCACCACCGGTAAGAGAAACAAGCCTACGGTCATTCTATAGAGTGAATATTAAGATGTTATTAAAACATCTGTAGGTTCAAAGGATAATTATGAAATTTAAATTATGATATAAGAACATTATTCACATATACACACAATGAATCAACTTTCAAATCTACTTTCAAAAATGTTATTATACAGATTAATTACTAAGATTTTTGCTCAGTTTTGTTTTATGATTTTTTTTTTTAGGTGTGGCACTTGGAGCCCCTATTTTCAGCCTCAAAGGAAATCAAGGTCAGGGCTGGAAGCCTGCAAGCATTCGCTACACTGGTTCAGCTGATTCAGTGGAGGTCAGTTTTATTCTCTCAGTTAAAAAAATTTGTGAATGAGCTTATTACATTTTTTTACATTATGATCTGGCCCATTTGAGTTATAATCTAATTTAATTTATCATAAATATTGCCAAAGGTTCACGTTTTTCCATTGTAATTCACATTTTTCATTTCAGTTTGTAATTGTTGGGGTTTATGGTGAAACAGACAAGACAGATATTGCAATTGATAGTGTCTGCATTACCACTTGTACAGGTAGGTGGCAGACAATGTCACTAATGCCATTGTAAGTATAAAAGTACCAGCTGTCATATGATACATATTTTATGGACGATGCACCAGTATATTAATTGTTTCTTGCTTGATTTTAGCAACTCCAACAACACCTAAGCCATCCCCACCCCAACCCACTACACCTAAGCCATCAACACCACAACCCACTTCACCTAAACCATCAACACCCCAACCCACTACACCTAAACCATCAACACCCCAACCCACTACACCTAAGCCATCAACACCACAACCCACTTCACCTAAACCAACGACACCAGGTCCATCATCCCCTAATCCATCTACACCCCAACCCACTACACCTAAACCATCAACACCCCAACCCACTACACCTAAGCCATCAACACCACAACCCACTTCACCTAAACCAACGACACCAGGTACATCATCCCCTAATCCATCTACACCCCAACCCACTACACCTAAACCAACGACACCGGGTCCATCAACTCCTAAGCCAACAACACCTAAGCCAACTACTCCAGAACCAACACCACCAGGTAAGCTAAACTTGTTCTATTTTGATTAGAAACATTTATCAAAACATTATAACATTTGTATAGATAAACAAACCCTTCATGTCTTCCAACAGTGAACTGCCCTCCAGACTCTGAGTACATTGATTGCGGCCCAGCCTGTATTCCTTCATGTGCAGAGCCCTCTACTAACTGCTCTGGTTCTTGCATCAGCGGCTGCTTCTGTAAACCAGGATTTGTTTTCCGTGGCCGGCGCTGTGTTCCTATTGAGCAGTGTGGATGTCTGGATGAAGAAAACAATTACTTTGAGGTACAAGAGTTGTCGTTGTGAGGCTGCATTTTCCCCCTAGTTTTGGGACCTAAGCTTTTGCTCTAAAAGTCTTGGTCTATATTTACACTCAGCCCGGTGAGATCATATTTGGAGATAGCTGTTCCAAGTTGTGTCGCTGTGCTGGCAACTACACTTTCGACTGTGTGGACAACACCTGTGACCCTGTGACAGAAGAATGTCGGGAGGTTGGTGGAGTGCATGGCTGCTACCCTAAAGGTATTACAGAAAGCCACAACAATCTTCCCTAATCCACAATTATCATAACTGACAAGTGATCAAACAGCACGCTGAATTGCTCCTGTGATAGCTCATGTTTCAAAGCCCACAAGCTTTCAAACACACAGACAAAATTTTGTCATTTGGCTTGGCAGTTATTAACTTGCATACCAATAACTCTTGAGACAAAGCATATTTATGATCAAATTTGAATTTATATCTTTGACACCAAGGGATTTTTCACTCACAGGAACCTCCACCTGTATTGCTTCTGGTGACCCCCATTACAACACCTTTGATAACCGGCGCTATGACTTCATGGGAAACTGTTCTTACCTGATGTCCGAGCCTTGTAACAGCACAGACGTGCCTTACTTCGCTGTATACACAGACAATGAGAATCGCTACAACAATCCTCATATCAGCTATGTAAAAGCAGTTCATGTCCATGCACTGGGAGTCATAGTGTCCATTCTGAAAGGAGGAACTGTGCAGGTAAGAGAAAAGAACATTATTTTCAATATTAATGATTTATACACTATCATGTTTATAATAGTATTAGTGTACATATACTGTATACATCTAATTTAGTGGCACATTCAAATATACAATTGTGTTTTCTGACTTTTCTCAGGTCAATGGTACCAAAGTGAACATTCCTCTGAGTCCTGTCAGTGGTGTTGACATTTTCATGTCTGGAAAGCACTACACAGTGGCCTTGAACTTTGGAGTAACTGTACGTTACGACGGAAACCACTATATGGACATTAAAGTTATCAAGGAGTGAGTATGGTTCTTATAAAAGTCTTCTTAATAACATCTTTTATAACTTGATTCACTTTTGAATTAGAGCCCGACCGATATGGGTTTTTTGGGACCGATACCGATATTAGGGGGTAAAAAAAGGCAGATACCGATATATCGGCCGATATTCTTTGTGTATATTATTGTACAATACCAGTCAAAAGTTTGGACACTTTCCCATTCGTGTGTCCAAACATTTGACTGGTACTATATATAGAATACAGTATATTCTGTTTATGTATATACTGTATTCTTTTTTGCAATGATCACTCAAATGTGGTGATCAAACACTTATAATGGTGACAGAGATACATAATGGAGGCAGGGCATTTAACAATTTAACAATAAACTTTATTCTCCAAAATGAGTCTGACATCAGTGCACTGAACAGTAAAGTTGAAGTTTATTCAACTTTAATTCAATTCAATTCCATTCAACTTTATTCCGTTGAAGTTTATTTCACTTCGGAACATTCATTCACGGATTTGCGCTACTGTCTTCACACACAGACGAAACTTACTAGAGAAGTGTGAAGTGTGACATAATATACCTCTGTAAATAAATACAATATAAATAGGGATGCACAGAAATGAAAATTCTTGGCCGAAGCCGAAACCGAACAAAATTAAACACTGGGCCGAAGGC